CATCATAACATCAACGCAAACAGACACAAACAAATGCAACCGGTCTGAGCAAACTCCATCCAAAACCACGAACACTGCTGCACCAACTCATCCTCAGCAACGACACCAACACGACCGTCAAAAACAGCGATAAGGACAGCGACAACAACACAAAAACAATGAACACGCCGAACACAGGAGAAGGACAACAACAAAAATCGACGACGACAACAACAACCATGACAAAATTACGATGAGAAAAACAGTAACAACCAAAAATAGGATGACGAAGACGAGAACAACAAGATGGAAGAAGAAGAACAGCAGCAACCACAACAACAACGAATAGAACTGGCAATTCTACTACGCATTCAATGAACAAGCGGACGAAACAAACCGAACTGAAACGCACACGCAAGCGCAGTCCATAAGCACCAACATCACACACCACCTGACCCAAGCCTTACACAACCCACCATGATGCTCGATGCTGGGGCAGGCTGAATCACTTCTGTCCGTCCCCATCCACACCGGTGGCTGCATAGGACCACAATGGAACTAGCTCTACATCGCAACAGACTGCAGCTACATCAACCAACATTCATTGCTGCAAAACAAACAGCACACCATCCAACGACAAATGTCACACACTAAATCAAAGACTAAAATCCAGAAGCAGTGGACACCTTCAGCAACCGCTATCCGATGAAAACATGTAATGGCACAGAGGAACACCGGTACTAATCAATCGCAACTCAAGCTCAACACCACCATCTTGCGCACTCACCAACACTGCAGTACTTAGTAGTTCACACAATCACAAAGCCGCACACAAATACACTTCAGCTCCATGCTTACATACACACACACTCAAGCACACTACACACGACAGGACTCGCCTAGAGATGAATAAACCAACACTAGACCAAAACCACTCTACACATACATGTGCATTAACGCTTAGCACCATCGCACAACACAACGCAGCATCATTCGCCACCAAGACATCACTAACAGCTAAACAAAGAGAAACGTAAACACACCGCACACATCACAATACATAGACAAACGAACAAACAAAACGATAACGCTCAACCACACGCACTCTCACACAGACAATAGACGATCGCCCGAACGCCATGTCAGATCCAAAAACCCAATCGTGTCGAGTCAGAGAGGGCAAGGAGTCATCATCATAGCGACATACGGCATTCACAATATCAACAACACACAACCTATTAACACACACAAACACACGCAATGGTGATGATGGGTACAGCAGGATTCATCAAAATGCCACACATTTCTCCACCTCGCCAGACCTAAGACACAAAAACAAACAGACCGACACGCATGCACGCGTAGTATTCCGCTCATGCTTGAAACAACGACCACAATGATTCCGCGACGAATCCTCACAAACACAACAACAAGAGGAAGAACAAAAACATGCACAAGGAAAACAACATCAAGAAGGAGAACAAGAGGAGGAACAACAAAAACAACAAAAGAAGCATAAGGAACAAGAAGAACAAAGGCAACAACTAATACTACCACGCAGTCAGTAAACAAGCAGCTGACAAAAACAGACCGGAAACGAACGCGAATACCACAAATACGAACGCCTGCCGCCGTCTCCATCCACAACCCAAAAAACAGCCTCCAGTTGTCCAACACACCTCAGCACAATAGCCAAACTCCATCACTATAACGTCACGATCAACACACGCACATCATCCACCCACTCACACAAGGAAAACACGAAAATCCATCCGAAACCAAGCACACACCACCCTCAACCACGAAATACACACAACTAACAAACATACGCTAACACCACCGCCGCAACACACACACACACACACACAGGAACGCTGCCACAGTAGCGTAATACTATGCACACCACAACCAACTCCCCACTGATGAACCAGTGCCAGCTGAACAAACAACAACGCGAACAACGCGCATTCACTCCATAGCAATACCAATCTAACTAACATCTCACTTCACAAAGCATACAACCAACAACATCCAACCGACGAGGTACGCATGAACCCATGAACCACAAAACCCAATGCGACAGCAATACACCATAGGTACTGTAACACTATTCACGCAAGAACTCACCTCAGGACTCCACGTCACCTGCACACACGTTACACCTGCTCCATCCTCCACCGACCGACCGACCGACCGCCAACCCACTCCACAACGCAACAAATCGGTGGTGTGCCAAACAAAACCAACCGACCGCACAAACCTTACGCACGGACACACGACATCCACCTTCGCGACACCAGAATACAACCACGCCCGCAAACCTGAAACATAGGATGTAATCACAACAACCATGAGACACACACCAAGCGCCACACAAACACCAAATGCAACACTGGCACCATGTGTACAAAGCAACAACACATCAGAGTACCACATCTGATCATTGAACAAGCTCACAAGACCGTCGTGATACCATACTCATCACTCGCCACCACCAAATACCCACTTAGGACAACAAATACAACAACAATGTACACACCTCACACGCAATTCGCCTCACTCACCTCCAAGTATCGCGCCTCCACCCTCACCACTCGCAACGAGTGCAGAACACACGTCGAATCAACACTGAAACATCAAAGAATAAAGAGTAACATCTTCCACATCGAGTAAACGACATACAAAAAACATGCACAGAAATTCAGGTTATTGCGCTCAGCACACTGACGGTGTCATCAGAGTGAGCTAGGTACACATCATAACATCAACGCAAACAGACATAAACAAATGCAACCGGTCTGAGCAAACTTCATCCAAAACCACGAACACTGCTGCACCAACTCATCCTCAGCAACGACACCAACACGACCGTCAAAAACAGCGATAAGGACAGCGACAACAACACAAAAACAATGAACACGCCGAACACAGGAGAAGGACAACAACAAAAATCGACGACGACAACAACAACCATGACAAAATTACGATGAGAAAAACAGTAACAACCAAAAATAGGATGACGAAGACGAGAACAACAAGATGGAAGAAGAAGAACAGCAGCAACCACAACAACAGCGAATAGAACTGGCAATTCTACTACGCATTCAATGAACAAGCGGACGAAACAAACCGAACTGAAACGCACACGCAAGCGCAGTCCATAAGCACCAACATCACACACCACCTGACCCAAGCCCTACACAACCCACCATGATGCTCCATGCTGGGGCGGGCTGAATCACTTCTGTCCGTCCCCATCCACACCGGTGGCTGCATAGGACCACAATGGAACTAGCTCTACATCGCAACAGACTGCAGCTACATCAACCAACATTCATTGCTGCAAAACAAACAGCACACCATCCAACGACAAATGTCACACACTAAATCAAAGACTAAAATCCAGAAGCAGTGGACACCTTCAGCAACCGCTATCCGATGAAAACATGTAATGGCACAGAGGAACACCGGTACTAATCAATCGCAACTCAAGCTCAACACCACCATCTTGCGCACTCACCAACACTGCAGTACTTAGTAGTTCACACAATCACAAAGCCGCACACAAATACACTTCAGCTCCATGCTTACATACACACACACTCAAGCACACTACACACGACAGGACTCGCCTAGAGATGAATAAACCAACACTAGACCAAAACCACTCTACACATACATGTGCATTAACGCTTAGCACCATCGCACAACACAACGCAGCATCATTCGCCACCAAGACATCACTAACAGCTAAACAAAGAGAAACGTAAACACACCGCACACATCACAATACATAGACAAACGAACAAACAAAACGATAACGCTCAACCACACGCACTCTCACACAGACAATAGACGATCGCCCGAACGCCATGTCAGATCCAAAAACCCAATCGTGTCGAGTCAGAGAGGGCAAGGAGTCATCATCATAGCGACATCCGGCATTCACAATATCAACAACACACAACCTATTCACACACACAAACACACGCAATGGTGATGATGGGTACAGCAGGATTCATCAAAATGCCACACATTTCTCCACCTCGCCAGACCTAAGACACAAAAACAAACAGACCGACACGCATGCACGCGTAGTATTCCGCTCATGCTTGAAACAACGACCACAATGATTCCGCGACGAATCCTCACAAACACAACAACAAGAGGAAGAACAAAAACATGCACAAGGAAAACAACATCAAGAAGGAGAACAAGAGGAGGAACAACAAAAACAACAAAAGAAGCATAAGGAACAAGAAGAACAAAGGCAACAACTAATACTACCACGCAGTCAGTAAACAAGCAGCTGACAAAAACAGACCGGAAACGAACGCGAATACCACAAATACGAACGCCTGCCGCCGTCTCCATCCACAACCCAAAAAACAGCCTCCAGTTGTCCAACACACCTCAGCACAATAGCCAAACTCCATCACTATAACGTCACGATCAACACACGCACATCATCCACCCACTCACACAAGGAAAACACGAAAATCCATCCGAAACCAAGCACACACCACCCTCAACCACGAAATACACACAACTAACAAACATACGCTAACACCACCGCCGCAACACACACACACACACACAGGAACGCTGCCACAGTAGCGTAATACTATGCACACCACAACCAACTCCCCACTGATGAACCAGTGCCAGCTGAACAAACAACAACGCGAACAACGCGCATTCACTCCATAGCAATACCAATCTAACTAACATCTCACTTCACAAAGCATACAACCAACAACATCCAACCGACGAGGTACGCATGAACCCATGAACCACAAAACCCAATGCGACAGCAATACACCATAGGTACTGTAACACTATTCACGCAAGAACTCACCTCAGGACTCCACGTCACCTGCACACACGTTACACCTGCTCCATCCTCCACCGACCGACCGACCGACCGACCGCCAACCCACTCCACAACGCAACAAATCGGTGGTGTGCCAAACAAAACCAACCGACCGCACAAACCTTACGCACGGACACACGACATCCACCTTCGCGACACCAGAATACAACCACGCCCGCAAACCTGAAACATAGGATGTAATCACAACAACCATGAGACACACACCAAGCGCCACACGAACACCAAATGCAACACTGGCACCATGTGTACAAAGCAACAACACATCAGAGTACCACATCTGATCATTGAACAAGCTCACAAGACCGTCGTGATACCATACTCATCACTCGCCACCACCAAATACACACTTAGGACAACAAATACAACAACAATGTACACACCTCACACGCAATTCGCCTCACTCACCTCCAAGTATCGCGCCTCCACCCTCACCACTCGCAACGAGTGCAGAACACACGTCGAATCAACACTGAAACATCAAAGAATAAAGAGTAACATCTTCCACATCGAGTAAACGACATACAAAAAACATGCACAGAAATTCAGGTTATTGCGCTCAGCACACTGACGGTGTCATCAGAGTGAGCTAGGTACACATCATAACATCAACGCAAACAGACATAAACAAATGCAACCGGTCTGAGCAAACTTCATCCAAAACCACGAACACTGCTGCACCAACTCATCCTCAGCAACGACACCAACACGACCGTCAAAAACAGCGATAAGGACAGCGACAACAACACAAAAACAATGAACACGCCGAACACAGGAGAAGGACAACAACAAAAATCGACGACGACAACAACAACCATGACAAAATTACGATGAGAAAAACAGTAACAACCAAAAATAGGATGACGAAGACGAGAACAACAAGATGGAAGAAGAAGAACAGCAGCAACCACAACAACAGCGAATAGAACTGGCAATTCTACTACGCATTCAATGAACAAGCGGACGAAACAAACCGAACTGAAACGCACACGCAAGCGCAGTCCATAAGCACCAACATCACACATCACCTGACCCAAGCCCTACACAACCCACCATGATGCTCCATGCTGGGGCGGGCTGAATCACTTCTGTCCGTCCCCATCCACACCGGTGGCTGCATAGGACCACAATGGAACTAGCTCTACATCGCAACAGACTGCAGCTACATCAACCAACATTCATTGCTGCAAAACAAACAGCACACCATCCAACGACAAATGTCACACACTAAATCAAAGACTAAAATCCAGAAGCAGTGGACACCTTCAGCAACCGCTATCCGATGAAAACATGTAATGGCACAGAGGAACACCGGTACTAATCAATCGCAACTCAAGCTCAACACCACCATCTTGCGCACTCACCGACACTGCAGTACTTAGTAGTTCACACAATCACAAAGCCGCACACAAATACACTTCAGCTCCATGCTTACATACACACACACTCAAGCACACTACACACGACAGGACTCGCCTAGAGATGAATAAACCAACACTAGACCAAAACCACTCTACACATACATGTGCATTAACGCTTAGCACCATCGCACAACACAACGCAGCATCATTCGCCACCAAGACATCACTAACAGCTAAACAAAGAGAAACGTAAACACACCGCACACATCACAATACATAGACAAACGAACAAACAAAACGATAACGCTCAACCACACGCACTCTCACACAGACAATAGACGATCGCCCGAACGCCATGTCAGATCCAAAAACCCAATCGTGTCGAGTCAGAGAGGGCAAGGAGTCATCATCATAGCGACATCCGGCATTCACAATATCAACAACACACAACCTATTAACACACACAAACACACGCAATGGTGATGATGGGTACAGCAGGATTCATCAAAATGCCACACATTTCTCCACCTCGCCAGACCTAAGACACAAAAACAAACAGACCGACACGCATGCACGCGTAGTATTCCGCTCATGCTTGAAACAACGACCACAATGATTCCGCGACGAATCCTCACAAACACAACAACAAGAGGAAGAACAAAAACATGCACAAGGAAAACAACATCAAGAAGGAGAACAAGAGGAGGAACAACAAAAACAACAAAAGAAGCATAAGGAACAAGAAGAACAAAGGCAACAACTAATACTACCACGCAGTCAGTAAACAAGCAGCTGACAAAAACAGACCGGAAACGAACGCGAATACCACAAATACGAACGCATGCCGCCGTCTCCATCCACAACCCAAAAAACAGCCTCCAGTTGTCCAACACACCTCAGCACAATA